TCCTTTTTTGAAGTTGCGCATGGCTTACAGGCTTATTTGTATCATTGACGCTGCCTATGCTGCTTCTGCGGTTATATATATTTGGAATCTTCGATGATGTAGGTGTATGAGATATGGGTCCCATAATAGCTAATTAAAATACACCTCTCTAGCAACAATACAGAATCCTGTTCCTATTTCACTATTTTGTTCCAGAAATATCTTCTAATAACTTCCTGAGCAATATTTCCAACTCTTCTAACTAATATGTAAGCTACGATATTAATTTATTCTTCTTCAATGTGCTAAATTATTGATAGTAGATCGCTCATATCAGTGTCGTGCACGACCACTTAAAATTGGCTCTGAAACCCACATCTCTACAATGACCCAATCTCCATACCTAATAAATTGTTTTAGCCGGGCCGAGTGATATTGCCACCTTTCGTAGTATACGGCATTCGACGGAAGTGGTGCTAGTATTTAAGGCATTTAGGCGACTAGCAAAGACATCACGAAAAGTGGAGTCAAATATTAGACTTCTCAATTAGGTAATAAGTGCATTTTGATTAGTCATATGGTTAACTGTTGGTGCACTCACCAGAGATGAGGACATAATTATACAATCAAAACCTTTTAATAAGACAGTGGAAAGAATAAAGATAGAGAGGAAATTATCATGGCAGATAAGGTGAAAGATATAAATCAATATAACCAATTGAAATCTAAATATATCGGACTTGGAAATGCTGATATCACGAGGGAAGAATTTATGACAAATGTCAATCGGGATATATATTCATCGTTGGCACAACATGATAATATTTTATACTATAATTCCGTAATTATGAACGAGCCAATGGAATTAATGAGACAGAAGATGATTAAAAAGATGGCAGACCCCATTCAGAACAACGCAAAAAAGCCTGAGAATTGAGTGTTTCTAAATGAAAATCATGATAATATTTTATACTACAACTCTGTAATTATGAATGAGCCGATGGAATCAAGGAGATGACAAAACCCTTTCAGAACAACAGGGAGAAGTCTGAGAATTGAACGTTGAACAAAAATCTAACTACATTCGATACTACGGGGACTATGTAAGTCTCTAGCGTATATTATTGAAAGAAAACAATTACGCTAAGGTCATAAGAAATATTCAAAAACTATATAATGGAGAATGCCCATATGGCTCCATGAAGAGACCGGCAAGATAAGGTTTGGATTGGAGCCAAACGAGCTAAAAGCGTCAAACTTAATTAGATAATAAAGGTGCAGCTTCAGAATCCGCGATTCTAGTATCTTGCTTAATATAATACGATCCGGCAACTGCTGCGATCAAACTGAGAATCAATAAAATAGATGCAATAACAAATGCAAAGATCCATTGTAAAGCGAAAACCTTTGTAAGCAATTGTCCCAACCCTAAACCGAACATCAAAACTGAAGAACTGAATCCAATACCATAATCATTGTAGAAGAGTATGAACATTGATGGAACAATTAAGAAATCCCAGATCAAAACATTACATACAACTCTACCCACAAACTTGTGAATATGGAACATAACGGCACCGTTCCAGAAAATAGCATAGAATAACCACGATAATGGTAAGGCAGTTGTTGGCAAGTGAATTAATATCCAATTGCTCAAAGGCTTGATACTGTATGTTTTGTGACTGTAGTAGAGTGATAAAATATTGAAGAAATTGATCAATAATACGATTTCACTCAAAATAAAATGTCTTCTAGCAAATAACATTGACCAAATAAATTGTGCAAAGTTGAAAATAGTGAAGTGCCATCCGACTAATTGTGAAAGCTCAACTCTTGCTCTACCCAGTTCTTGGGCAGGAATAAAAATCTGACTAACAAAAATGATTTGGAGTAAGTATAATATACCCCAGTATATCAATGTAACCAATATGTTGGATGAAAAAGGTGTGTTGCTAACATTGAATGGACTGTCTGAATCAAAAGGAGATCTACCAACTAAATAACGCAAATTACCGTAGATTGATAATGCCAACGAAACAATCGTGGTCACTTTATGAGTAATTAATTGTTCTTGTTGATTTATTGCCATCCTTGTATTAATTTAGAGTAATGTCTTCTAGAAATTTAAAATTAAAAATATTTAGCAGAAAATACGTTGATATATTTTCTCATATATGATTGCTCCCATACTCACAGGTTTTCAATGACTGCGAAAAATTTGGAACTTGCATTCCACCTACAATAGAACTATATCTTTCATCATATACCATAAACTATAGACACTAGCCTATATACTTTAATCCAATAAGATACGAAACTTAGCATGTACCACGGTAAGATTTGGTATTCTTACGGTGTTGTTCATTGTTATCTTTCAAAACTTTGTGTTTAACTTGCTTAAGATCTTCACCCCCGTTAGAAGCGATTGATAATAACATGCTGTAAATCATCTCGTTCCTCTCTGCAGATTGTTCTTTAGTAGAAAGATCGGTAATAGTGTCAGTAGCTTTAATTAATAATTCGATAGTCGAAATAATCTCGCTCATCAACTTGTCAAGCAAGTTTAATCCCAACGTATCACGAACAACAACTCTCAATATCTCGATATCTTGTTCATCTGGACTTAATTTGTAGTTTGGAATAATGTACCCCTTATTTCTTAACAACAAAGAAAAAATCGATTGGGGAATGTCCGGATACTTTTCTCGGATTTCCTTGGAAAATCTAAAGGCGACGACAGGTAAGCCAGGTTCGTATTCCTCATTTACTACTGCTTTATCAGAATGTGTGTTACTTTTATTGTGTTCCCTTGTGAAGATCTTTGCTTGACTTTCTTTATCAATCTTTTTGTGAATAACTGAAAGACATTCAAAGTAACCTGATTCTTCCAAGAAATTGGATAATAATCTTGCATTCTGAAGACATGAGTTGAAGATTTTGGTGTATCCCTCTCTACCTAAAGTCAAGAAATTATAATATTGGAATAATACAGGGAACCCTGGTCTTGAGAAGTTGAAAGTAAATGTCTCTTCAACTCCACCTAAGTAATCCAATTTAAATCTGACATCATCAGGCAAGTATTTGGTGTTCTTCCAAATAATCCATCCTAAACCAGCTGAAGTCAAGCCAAACTTATGTCCCGATGTGTTGATAGAAATGACTCTATCGATCGAAAAATCCCATTTTAAATGAGGATAAACAAAAGGAGCAACAAAACCACCACTAGCACCATCAACATGAATCTTGACATCAATCCCTCTTTCTTTTTCAACTTCATCTAAAAGCTTGGAAATTTCTTCAACTGGCTCAAATGCACCAGTGAATGTTGAACCTAAAATTACAAAAATACCTATAGTATTCTCATCAATATTTTCCTTAATTTTGGTTGTGTCAATTAGGTGACCCGATTTTTCATTGATATGGATTATTCTATTTTCGACATCAAAATAGCGGGCAAATTTCTCTAATGCAACTTGTGCACAAGAAGCCATAAGAATATTTGGTTCTGCAATAGATTTACCATTTGCCTTCTGCCTAGCTTGCCAAGATTTCTTCATTGCCAATCCAGCCATCATAATGGCTTCGGACGAACCTGTAGTAGCACTACCAATGGAATTGATAATTTTTTTACCTGTTTCCTTGTCAGTTGTACTTGGGGCATTCCATAAGTTACTCAAAATAGTAACACATCTACCTTGAATGTCGATCAATGATGGATATTCATCATTATCAGCCAAATTCTTCGTAATATTCTCAGAAGCCAACCTTAATGGAATGTCATCAATATTCGTATTCACAAACGAAGCTAAATTCAATGTAGGAATCCCGTCCAAAGACAATTCCTCGCTGATGTATTTATACACTAATTCGCTATTGGAACTTCTTTCAGGAATTTCATATTTTGGTACTTTAGCATTTGCGCTATATTTAAATATATACTCCTCGTGGTTATCTAAGACTGTCTTTTTAGTCTGTTGTAATAATTTGGATTCCAAATTTTCTGCGTTAATGTGTTTCGATAATGTCATTGTCAATTGAGTTAATATTCAATGATTCAAAGATTAATATTTACCCTGGCAGATATCAGGAGTATTTATATTTTACCTTGGCCCACAAAAATTTCCCGTAAGGTTGCTTTCGCCTAAAAAGGGCATCCCTTTTTTTTTTAATTATACAGCCTGCAGCTGTCAAATTGCGTAGTATTGTTTCATTAAAGCCTCCTCTACTCCAATGATGCCGATATTTAATATTATAGCTCGTAATCCATTCGACACATGACATGGTACATGTTGACGTCCCAAGGCTTCAATGAACTAGTGTAATCGTGCAGGAATGGTTGTTGGCTTTCCAGCTGGCCCGAAATATGTACTCACGCGTAGTACAAAATATTCGGCAAGTTATCGCGGCTATCATGAAACGTTTGCAATAATTATAATGCACACCTTGCATCCTCAGTGCGACTTCATTACACTACATTTTGATGGTTTGTCGCTAAGTCAAAATATTATATAATTTTTCCTTGCCTAACCTTAGAATTAAGCATAACGTAGTCGTTATATCTTTGCCCATCCTGCTAAATATGACTTTCGATGTCATTTACGATTGAACTCATCTAAAGTTTATACCAAAACTCTTTTTTGTGATGAGCGATCATTTGATGAACCCTGTAAATGTGCAATTATTCGCTAGATAAGCACTTTGAAATAAGGATATCTTTTATGCTAACTTATTTAATTTCTATAAAATGAACGAGTTCCACAAGAGAAAATGGAGAGAATTATTGTCCAATGAAATTAACTAAGATGATCAAGGATAGGGTGCTAATAATATTAAGAGACTTATTTTGGAGGATGTTGAAAGATCTGAAATAAAATCAAATTCGATTATAAAAATATTTTCAATAAGAATCTGAATCAAAATGTCAGCCATACAGAAGTAATATTTAAATCTTTTAATATTAAAAAGAAGTCTCACATCAGTAAGGTTCTTCGAAAGTTCAAAGGAAAGTTTGACGTAAATGAATGGAAAAAATATTCATATTCTTTTGTGTTATGCCGTTTACCGAATATGAATTTCAAGGGTCAGATGGAAACTTTCCAGATCCTGATACTCTCCATAGTACTAGTACAAACGTGACAACTTACGACGGTCTAATTGGTACTTTTTCAGATATCGAATTTGAATCATTCAAGCAGAAATTACAGAAGCCAGACTCGCAGCTAATTTGCAAATTATTTTGAAAACAGTTGTGTTTTAATGAAGAGAAAGTAATAAAATAATTACAAATTTGCTTGGAGTTTGCTTTAAACTTGACTATGAAATTGTGATAGGCATTGGATTGAATATGTCTCACACGCACATAATAGAACGCAAAGGTCATAAAGAAATAAACAAAATATACAATTATAAAGGTTACAATTGTAATTGAGGTCTTCCATCTCGCAACGCCCACAAAATACCAGCTTGAGATCGGTATCTTTATATATGGGATTAGACTATTATGCCTGGATACGTATAGAGCAATAGACGAGCAAGCATATATAATATGAGATTACGTACAGTAGATATTCAATATTTAGCGATATCATTATCCGTATATAAAGTAATAAAATTACTCATGCTGTAAATACGAGGAAAAATAAATATTTAACGAGTACCAACATCTATCGAGCCAAAATTTTAAAGGCGGAATTGCACGGCATCGAATGATAAATATTAACAATCATTCATATCCTCTAACAGTGTAATTAGCTTATTCGACGTCGTCGAATTTTTGACCTTCAGTTAAGTCCGGGATGTCTTCTTCAGCACCTTCGGCACCGCCAGCATTCAATTCTGGATTCTTACCAGCTTGAATTTGTTCAGCCAACTTTCTCAAGATTTCCAAGTTTTCAGCACCCAATTGAGGTAAGATTTGTGGAATCAATTGAGTAACATCCTTTTCTTGTGGGTAACCAGTCAAAGCAAAGGTGTTGTGTTGAGCAGCACCTTGGACACCAACTCTGTTAAAGTGTAAAACCTTACCGTCTTCTTTGAAGAAGTTAGCTTCTTCAATACCTTCAATCTTTTGTGCCTTCAACTTTCCTAAAGCTTCCATCAATTTGGTGTCATCTTGTTCAGTCTTGACATTCTTCTTAGCCTTAACTCTTGAACCACCAACCTTCTTGGCAGCAGAGGCCTTTTGTAACTTAGCTAACTTTTCTGGATCAACTGGCATATTTAATTCGTTTACTATAGCTTTGGATGTAAAATACTTCAAACTATTAGAAGGGACTTAAGTGAAAAATCGTCGACGACTTCTCGTCGAGAGTCGGTCGGTATATTCACGACCTTTTTGTTTTGTGTCCGGTTCACTTTTTGGAAGTGGCCGCTGTCACATGATATGGCTCATACTACTTGATACTATACCATCTTATCCTACTATTGATACTATATATCATTAGTAAGTATATGAATTCATAATATAGAATAGGAGAATGTACATTATTCACCGAGGAATCAAGAAAGTGAATGAATTTCTACCAGTTACAAATCACTGGCTAATTTTGTTCGCTTCGATCCCAGTGGCCTTATCAACAGGAACAATCTTCGTTTATTCAGTTTACAGTACAGAATTAGCGCAACGATGCCAGTTAGATGCTTCGCAGACAGGAAGTTTGAACATAAGTGCTACGATTGGAACAGCCTTTGGGGGGTTATTTGGAGGGCTAATCACAGATACTTATGGGACACAGTTGCCTATCCTTGTTAGTTGTGTCAGTATCTCGCTCGGGTATAAATGGTTGTATGATTCCTACAGACTGGGACCAAATAGTAGTATGGCTTTGTTGCTTTTTTCCATGTTTTTGGTGGGGGTTGGGTCTGTATCTGGATATTTCAGTGCCATTAAGGCGGTGACGTTAAATTTTCCTAATTACAAAAGTTCTGCTCAGAGTGTAACCATTGCATCCTTTGCGATTTCGAGTTTGTTGTTTCTGTTCATCTCCTCCCGGATTTTAAAAGGGGATATAGGGGCCTTTTTGTATTTCATGCATGTTGCATGTGGCTTGCTAATCTTGCTAGGATTTCTATTCATCAGAGTGGATGGGCATTTTGACAATAAAAAACAGCCCCATGAAGGGCAGGTAGAATGTGATGAAGTAACTGGATTGCTAATTTCAAACCAATCAGAATGTGAAGATAATTCTGATTATTTGGAAGACAACAATGATTTGAAATCTATGTCGTTGAAGAAGTCATTAGTGCATCCCATATTTTGGTATCACTATTTTATACTCTCGCTCATTCAAGGCTTCGGTCAAATGTATATTTATTCTATTGGATTCATTTTAAAGGCCATACATTATTATTACGATAATGAAGTATCACAAAAGTCTGGCACTTCTTCATTACAATCACACCAAGCCTTACATGTTTCCTTGATTGCAATAAGCTCCTTCATTGGCAGATTATCATCGGGACCTCAATCCGACTTTCTAGTTAGAAAACTTCATTGCCAAAGGCATTGGATTTTAATCCTAGGATTATCCTTGATGTTTGCGGGCCATTCCATAAACTTTATTGACTTGACTTACTTTTGTTCTGATTTACGTCGGGCTAACAAAATATTACTGTTGGCTTCTTGTATCATTGGATATGCTTACGGGTTTAGCTTCACTTGTTATCCCGCGATAATTTCGGATTTGTTTAATATGCGTAACTATAGTTTCCTTTGGGGCACGATGTATACGAGTACCACATTTGGCCTAGCTTTAATGACAACTATATTTGGTTACTATTACGATTCAAATAGTACCGAATGGGATGATCATGCTGAAGAATATGTTTGCGACAAAGGATCAGGCTGTTATAAATCAACTTTCCAGATAACGTCAGGGTTATGTGTATTCACAGCTATATTGGTTTTGGGTTATATTTATACAAAGAGGTCTAATAAGCCGCCTATTATACTATAATTAGAATGTATATATTAGAGAGACAATATATGTGATTTTTTTTTGCATCTTTAAGTATCACGTGAATTGAATTGTAAAATAAGAGAATATTCATCTCTGGAAGAAGGGCTACAATTTAAAGATAATTATGAGTAAGAGACCAATATCTGTGGAGGAGCTCATTGGTAAGTCACAGTCGGCGGAAGTGATATCAAAGCCAAAGTTTTTGTCTAAGCAGGAGAGGCAAAAATTAAGTCTACAGAGAAGTCTAGAGATACAAGATAGAAAGCGTCAACAATTAACCGTTAATAATGGAGCTAAAAGGAGACATAGTAATTCCATAGAGGCTAATCCTGAACCAAAAAAGTTAAATAAAAAGTTAAAAAAAGGTAGGAACTTCAACTTTGACTGGGATGAAGAGGAGGATACATCTAATAATTATCAACCACTAGTTCGGTATGATAATGGAATCAACCCACCTGATATTGGGCTCTCCGACAAGCATTGGTCTGAAAAACGAATAGAAGACATGACGACCCGGGATTGGAGAATATTCAAAGAAGACTATAATATAACTTCTAAAGGTGGTGATATTGAAAACCCATTGAGATCATGGACTGAATCCAAATTGCCTGTAAAATTATTAAGCATTTTAATTGAAGACTTGGGTTACAAGAGTCCTACTCCAATTCAAAGGGCATCTATACCATTAGCATTAAATGGAAGAGATATAGTGGGTATAGCAGAAACAGGTTCTGGTAAAACATTGGCATTTTTGTTACCATTACTTTCGTATATTTTATCCGTTGATTCTAACTACTTGTTATATGAACATCAACAAGAGTCGAATTTCAATAAGCCATTAGGATTAATTTTGGCACCAACTAGAGAATTGGCGCTACAAATTACAAAGGAAGCAAAACTATTTGGGGACAAGCTTAACATGAATGTTGTAACCATAATCGGAGGTCATCAATACGAGGAAACAGTACATAGTGTGCGTAATGGAGTTCACATAGTGGTTGCTACACCAGGTAGATTAATTGATTCCTTAGAGCGTGGGATTATTAACTTGAGTAACTGTTACTTTTTTACCATGGATGAGGCTGATAAAATGATCGATATGGGATTTGAAAAATCATTACAATCCATTTTAAATTACTTACCCACCAATGAAAAACTTGAAACTACACTTGATGGAAGGATTTTTAACATTGAGAAAAGGATAACCCTAATGTTTACGGCTACCATTTCTCCTCCGATTGAAAGAATCACCAAAAACTATCTTATCAAACCGGGATATTTGTTCATTGGAAATGTGGGTGAAGCTGTTGATAATATTAACCAATTATTCGAATATTTCGGTGCACAACAATCCTCTGATGAAATTATAGACCCTAAAAAATTGGATAAATTATTAAGTATATTGAAATTTCACAAGGATCAAAGTAGAAACTATTCTATAATCATATTTGCGAATTTCAAGAAAACATGTGAAGAATTATCGTATGCATTAGGTAGAAAAGGTTTTTCTGATAACACCGTAATTCATGGATCAAAGTCTCAGGAGGCTCGTGAACGTGCAATCAGTAGTTTCCGTGAAGGCAAGGACAGAATATTGATTGCAACAGATGTTGCTGCAAGAGGTATTGATATACCGAATGTCTCGTTGGTAGTCAACTATCAAATGACTAAAAAATTTGATGAGTATATTCATAGAATTGGTAGAACAGGGCGTGCAGGTAATAAAGGTACAAGTTGTACATTCATTGATGATGGGGATTCAGAAGTTTTTCTAGATTTGAAAAAGTTTTTAAATAAAGGCAAGAAAAAATGTCCTGAATGGTTATTAAAGCATTCGTCTACACAATCGCAGATATTGCGAGATTAAATATTGTACATTATATAAATAAATTATTCTTCATCACTACTTGAATATCCTAACATTGTAGGTAAATTCTTTTCAGGTTGAGGTTTATCTACTTTTCGTTTCTTAGATTGCATTTGTTTAAGTGCATTTAATGAAGAATTGTTGAACATGCCTGACGACGACTCCAGCGATGGTAATGCCTTTACTTCCAAAGATGATTTAGTTTCTTCAATTTCATCAGGGACTTCTACTGTAACTTTTTTTGTCTTTCTTTCCGTTTGTGAAACCAGATCTAGTAAGTTTTTCACAGTATTAACGGTTACCTCTTCTAACCTTCTCTTCTCTTGTCTCTGAGCTTCAGGATTTGGATCTTCATTCGCCCACCTTATATTGAGGACTTCATTCCCATCTAGGGATTGGTTCTGCATGGCTTCTTTAGCAAACTGTGCTTCATTCTCGGTACGAAATGTAACAAATGCACAGGCTTTACTATGAAGCACCCGAATTTTCTCAATCAATCCAAATTCCTGAAAATGCTTGGTTAACGTATTCTCCATTTTATCATCCATGTGAAGTCCTCCTATATATAACGTTCTATTGACTTTATTGAATGATCCTACTCCATTCATATCATCTTTATAATCGCTGGTTTTATCTCTTCCAAAACAATCTTGCGTAGGTATGAAATAATCTGTGTCGCTTGGTAATCTATGGTAATATGAGCATTTTTTGCCTAAATAACAACATCCTCGAGCAAAAAATAGACATAAAGGAGCATTAGACGGAGCTCTCGTATAACCTGAATCTTTTTTGATATTTACTCTGAACTTCAGCTTCGTGTAATTCTTCGTTGAACTATCTCCTCCTGACCACTTCAAGAACCATATATTGAACACATTTCCAGTTTGTGGTGGTTTATCATCTTCAGTTATAGTTTCAGGGTCAACCTGGAGTCTTGCAGGTTTCCCTTTCTTTGTTTTTGAGACTATGGTGGTGTCTGAAGGCATGTTTGATATATTACTACGTCTAAAATCATATTTACCTTGTAAGTTCTCTAAAGCTCATCTATGTCTGATGAAAGATCTCACGTGATCGAACTGCTACAATCTACATTTTGTTGCGAAATTTAAAATTATATTTATTAGTTCGTAAAATACATATAAAATAGCAGTTTAACTTTTTAAAGTCATAGAAAATCATTAATTTAATCAGATATCAGAAGTTAAAAGTACCTTACATGACATTGAAAAGGAAACTGAAACCAGCAATACCGGCAACAGCAGCGGCCTTCTTCCATGCTCCAAAGTCAACATGAGAATTAGCAGATGATTCTGAAGACGAGGAAGATCCAGATCCAGATCCAGATCCAGAGCCGGAAGAACTAGAGGACATAGAACCACCAGATCCAGAGCCGGAAGAACCAGAGGCCATAGAACCACCAGATCCAGAGCCGGAAGAACCAGAGGCCATAGAACCACCAGATCCAGAGCCGGAAGAACCAGAGGCCATAGAACCCCCAGATCCAGAAGATCCAGAAGCCATGGAGCCACCAGATCCAGAAGATCCAGAAGCCATGGAACCACCAGAAGCCATGGAGCCACCAGAAGCCATGGAACCACCAGAAGCCATGGAGCCACCAGATCCAGAAGATCCAGAGGCCATAGCACCACCAGCAGCAGAAGTGGCAGATTCCATACCTGATTGAGCAGCACCTGCAGCACCTGAAGTAGCACTACCTAAAGCAGAGCCGGCACCACCACCAATAGCAGAGCTAGCACTGTCACCAGCAGCAGCAACAGCAGAGGTAATACTGCTTCCAGAACCACCAGCGGCGGAAGCAATAGAGTCACCGGAGCTACCAGCAGCGGATTGAACGTCATTGACAGCGAATTGTAAAGCGTTAATACCCATTATGTTATATTAATATATTATGTCTATAGTAATTAATTTGTATAATATCACTTGGATTGATATATGAAATACTAATAATGAATAAACTGGGCATATTCGTTGGGAATTACCTTTTCTTATATACTTTTACATGTACAGCCTATTCTTTGCTACACGGCTGTTAATTTGACTGAACCAGCTTTGTGTTTATGAATCATGAAAATATCTACATTATTCCCCTAATGTCTCCATTATGTTACGTCAGGGTACCTAGTACCTGACTTTCTGCATAGTAACTACACTTCCCAAAAAGTCATAATAGCTTCCTCCAGTTAGTGGCTATGATTCCATGCACTATTGTTCCAAAGTGTTGCAGGGGTCAAAATACATTGTTCTTGTCACGTGAGTATTAAATTATCGGGTTTACAAGTACAAAGCTAACTACGATTCTACGCCATTTTTGTTGTACAACTTCAAAAGTAATAGCCTCTATTTACGTCGCTTCTATAAAAAGACTTTTCAGATTGTTCCATTTTACTATGCTGCGTCTCGAGTCTTCGCTTCCTGAAGTATGCGGATCAAGTGTTGAAATATCTAGATTCATATGAACTTTTTTTTTTCCAGTTATTAAATTTAGCACCAGCTATTCAATAACTGATACCGTCAGTATGATATTGCTATGGTACTCCAAAAGCATATGAATGCTTAATAAATATATGTGTTATGTAATCAGATTTTATGTGGAGATACAAATCCCGATTCCTACATTTGACTTCTTCGTTTACACCGCGAATCGGAAAGCATCAGTTTTTGGTATATGGTCAAGTTTCATATGAAAAATTACACAAAAGAATATAATCCAAAATTGTAGCAATCCAGATCCCGTTTGTTAATAATATTGGGTGTAGGGATGTTGCATTGGTCACACGACCGGAGAATTGTTAGCAATGATGTTTTTGGTCGTAAATAAATTGTTTGAAACGTTGGCTTAAATTCCTCCGTCTTACTAAGGTCTAGTTGTTAGCAATCAGTATGAAAACGCGTCGGAGAACTTATTTATTATAAGTAAGTTATTGTAAGTAGAGAGCGTCAACAGATCCAGAATCACCAAGAAACTTACGTAGCTGAAGAGTTCAATCTGAAATTTTGTTAATCTCATGTATTTCCTGTATATATACTTAACCACTAAGAAGACAAAATTGCTAAATTGCTTTTGATTTAGGGAACTTATGGTATGCACTAGCAATAACAGAGTTTAGACGAATACGGTTGATGAGCTGCACTCACCGCATGTGCGAAAAAGTCATTTTATTGGATTTTTGCTATTGATTTCAAGTACATTGTAGGGCTAAAAGCCTTGTGATATAATAGTCGGTACAATAAGAGCGAAAATTTCATTTTATTTTGCTTCACTAGCTTGTTTAGTTTCTCTGGTTCATATTTGGCCACAAACGAACAAATTTATTGTATCTTATTTTTAATTCATCTTGTCAGCATATAATTGCAAATTTGTTTGAAATTTGCACTTCTTACAAAAAGTTTGAGTATTGCACATGAAATCATTCAATTAACAGTATAGGGTCCTAATCATTTCAGAATATTGAAGACCCATTTAACAAATTATTCGATTTATAATCTCTACTTTATTTTGATATTTATTAATTAGAAATTTCTATTACAGTATATTATTAGAGGCTCTACGTCTTTAACCAAGTACATTTACTAAAACATTTCGCAGGCATTAACCTTACTTCCTGCCTATAAGCATTGTAAAATATGTATTGCGCAATATCAATAAGCATTGCATCCTTTTCTAGGGATTCTTGAGTAGGGAAATGATTCGCAATTTCGAAAGCTATAAGTAAATAGTTGGAAGACTTTTCCTTGAACCTTGTGCTCATCAAAAGGTGTGACCACATATCTATCCCCTTGAATTACTTGCAATGAGTTCCCGTGTATACTATGCCACGTACTTTTTCAGGGTACTTAGAATAGAAAGCTGATCATATCCACGATTATCGTAGGCAATATAACGGTAGCGGTCATCAAGAACCTCTATTAACTGTTCCCAAATATTAGCTATTCCTACAAAACCAGAGACAGAAACGAGCGAAGGACATTTTCCATTATCTTTGTAGTAGATTTCGCAATTGCCATCAGTTATTGCCCAGGCCTTATTTTACTCTTAATGTTTCCTAAAGGTTTTGTAAATAGAGCGACATATAATGATAGTGTTGTATATATTACTTGTGTTATTAATATTATGAATAACCTCGGCTTTCTTAATAAACAATAATCGTTGACCCAATTTTAATCTTTGTAATCTTGGTGCATTAGAGTTCGGAAAATGCTTTCTTGCATCACAATGCTTTTAAAAATGCATGTAACGCTATTTGACATGATTTTAACTTGAATGTCAAGTCTTCCAAACCTTGGAAATATTCTTTATCATATTCTGCATTCCCAATCACGGAAACTAAATTCCCGATCTACCTTCATAAACCTTAGTTTTTAGTTCTTCTTATCGACTTAAGATTATTACTTTTTTTTTTTATCTTCGTTAAAGCGATAATTACATTTGATAAGTACTTTTCCTGCTGAATATACTAAGTTTTCGAAGTAATATGTTTGTTCTTTTTACATGTTTGTCGACTTTAATCTTTATGGAATGGTGCCAGCAAAATTCATGAAACTGCATTAAGTTTAACTATCAATTCATTGAATTAAATGTAAGAGTTTAAATAAACGCTATTATAATTGATAGAATATTATACGATATTCTATAAAATATCGAAATATATACATGGTAATAAGTCAGATTAAAATGAAACTTATATATAGAAAATGAAGAGTCATTTCAATCAATATTCAGATTAAGGATTAAAAAAAAAATAAGGAATGTAATACAAGGTTTAGACCAACATAATTAATTAAGTAGATCCCTTATTATATTTATTTTTGAACCATTGAACGAGACTGAATGCCTCATTATCATCTTGTACTTCCACAACGTTACCGTCTTTATCAAATTCCACATTGGCAACCTTTGCCTTAAGTTTTATGTTGGTAGTAAATACTGCAAAGAGAATCAAAGGGACACAAAATACAAGACCAACTAAAGTTAAAATTCTTTGAATATGTCTATAACCTTCAACTGCTGCCATTCTTTCTGATGTTCCCCAAGTATAATTCAAAATAAAAGTTTGAGGTTCCAGGAAACACAACTCTGCATCTTCAGGACTAAGTAACGTCAAGAGTCTCTTATAAAGTATTTGAGTCCAAATGGCACCACCGACTGAAGAGCCTACTGCACCACCTACTCTGTACAACACATAGCCCCACGCAGTAACAGAAGCAAGTTGTTCATGAGGCACCCTACTTTGCATAATAACAGTAATGGCATAGGAGAAGAAACCAGTACCAAACCCTTGAACTACTTCAGCAGCAATAATACCAGCTTTTGCATCCATACCACTTCTAAAATGATACATCAATCCGAGTGACAACATCCACATCAGCGTACCAAAAACAAGGAATGGCTGAGGCCTTTTTATTTCCACAAGCACTAATGCATAGCAAAAGCCAGAAATCTCTGCAGTGAAACTCGATAAACTCAGAATTCTTGTGGCAGATTCAATAGATTGATTAACTGACACAGTTAATACATTATACAAATATTCAGACACAAGCAGAGAAATGAACATGAAAGTAAAACTGATAAGTAAAGGACAATAAATTGCTCTGTCGTTATAAAATGACATAGGTGTTAATGGAAATTTACTCACGAATCTTTCCCAACAGTAAAAAACAGGCACGAGCACCACACCGACTACTATTGGTGCAATAATACTACCTTGTTGCCATTTTGATTCATAACCTCCAGCTAAAGTCAATGGAGCTAAAATACAACCTAACGAAACTGTCATTAAGAGCGCGCCAACAAGATCAAGCTCCAAGCATAATTCAATAAGGAATTTCATATATCCTTTTTTCTTTACAAACTTTCTTCTTACCCCATTGAGATCAATCCAATCTTGTGTTTTTCTTGCTTTGATCCACATATGCCCAATGCAAATCATGAATGGTATATTAGCTAAGGGAAAGATAAAGGCCCACATTCCTATCCCCCACTTCCAATTAGCTTCTGGACCAACAGCTGACACAACATTCCCAGAAATCCACGTTATGATAATATAACTAAAAGTAGGACATAATATGGCGAATAATCTCCAACGCATCGAAGAAAAATCGGATAGAATAAGAACCAAAATTAAGACAAGCCCAACGAATCCCAAATTATAGAAGACGGCACCAGTAGCATATTTTGCAATATTGGTAGCTTGACATTGAATAATGGTCCCAACAACATAGAAAAGCACGCTTACAACGTACATTTCAATACGCCCAAAAATATCACTCATTCTTGCGAACACGATTTGGCCAGCGGCTCCAATAATGGCGGTCAAAACGTTAACAGTTGATAACAATGAATTATTTCCCAATGCACCAGTAGCATAATTAGTATAGTAGTATCTGGTAGTGGAATCAAGCATATAAGCAAACCCAACTACAAAAGTTGAAAAGTAGAAAATGAACTTAAGGTAAAAGTTATCATATTGACTATTCATAATTTCCATTCTTGCAACAACTACCAGCCTAAGGTCATGTTCAAAAGCCTCAGATTCATCGTCTAGAGAATTGGTTTTATGATCATTATGAAGTGAATCTTTCACTTCTCGCGACTCTTCGTCGAATTTTGAGGAAGAATTCATTCTATGCTGCTTTATTGGAGTGTAAAAGAATCCTTTAATGCAATATCGCTTCAACAAAAAAGGAAGAAGTGAAGAATTTTAAATAGTAATTTTTTTACGAGAAAATTTTTTTTATCAGATAAAATCTTGCTGCATCGTATTGCTTCCTAATTTGCATTGTATTGCTTCCTAATTTGGAATTGAAAAGGGCTCAATAATTTAGTGAAAAAAGATTCAGTTATATTTAGACTAGACTTATACTATATTTCCAGCCATTTACTAGCCTTATTTGTAGATAACATCAGCCAAACGGTAAATTATACAGATCATAAAGAGACCGAATTATGTTCAAAAACACCTGTATATGTTTCAGAGAATTTTTTTTCAAAGTCTACACAGGCTCTTAACTGGTATAAACGATCTGCGTCTGCATTGATTTTTTTGAAGAGACACATATTGAGATAGTTTACGGTAAAGGCGTTTACTCAGATTATAAGAAAAGTGATTAAATTTATAAAAAGTGGTCAACAAAGTCCTGGTGGTTAGTATTAATTGAATTTGCACCTCATGTGCAAAAATGTCATGTTAATTGGATTTGCACCTCATGTGCAAAAAGGTCATGTTAATTGGATTTGTAGTCTATTGATTTCAAATACATTGTAGAGCTAAAAGCCTTGTGATACAATAGTCGGTACAATAAGAGCGAACATTTCATTTTATTTTCATATTTGGCCACAAACGAACAATGTATTGCAACTTATTATTCTTGTATAGGGAAATGACTCGAATTTTCGAAAACTACTAGCTCTGCATTTGGAAGATCCTCCTTAAGCATTGTAGCACATGGATTAAGTGTGTAATAACTTCTTTATCTCCTTGTACAAGAAGAGTTGGAATAATGATTTGCGAGCCCCGTTCTTCTAATTCAAACGCTAGACGTCTACGAGCATTTCCTTCTATTCCATGGATTGACCATTTGGCAGCTTCTAAAGCAATATCAGTATCTGAACAAAAGCAAATAAGCCTTGCAAAGGACTCAACTCTAGACTTGGGTGTATTAGTTCCAATGAAACCCTGCGCAGAAATTCCTAAATCTCAAAATTGTTTGCCATCAAAGTAAGTCCCAGAGTACATTATTGCAGTACTTTTCCGGGATGTTTCAAGTAGAAAGCTGAACGTATATTACCACTCATAGAATGGGCAACTAGTATGAATTCTTCTACGTTCGATTTTTCTAGCATGCAATAGAGACCATCTGCGTGTCTTTTGATATCGTGCGAATCTAAAGTGGGATTGTTCTAAAACGTTTCTATAAAATTGTTAGTCCTCCTTGAACTTCTGGTTATCTAAAATCACAAATCGTTCGTTGGAGAAACCGTATTAGTCGTTTATTAACAATGGCTTAATCACAGCTGTATGATCCAACAAATGTTAGGAAATTGACTGCTCAATTCATTAGTCTTTTTGTTATTTTTGTGTCGTTGGTATAATGTATATAGTAGAAATAACTATGAACTTAGTTGCGAGTTTATGATATTTAGGTTGAGTATTCTACATAAGCAAACTATATAGTAGTGTACTGTAAACCCTACATGTCGGTTTATGTGAACCGACAATTAATTATTTTGACACTGTTACTTAGATGTGTGCGTTTCCGCAACATCAGAACCGCCAACCGCCTCGACATTCTTAATTAGGACAAAATTTCCCCTATCGTTATCTTAAATGAATTCATATAAATACTATGCTGAATTCGAAAAATATTTTCATTCAGATGAAACCCACAGTAAAATAATTAAAAATGTGTGGAAAGGAAGTCAATTCGAGTTCAGATGCTAGTGCAACCAAATCTTCTGGTTCAAAGATTAGTTCGTCATGTTGTGGTGCATCCTGCAAATGTGGATCGGCATGTGCATGTAAATCTTGTAATACTACAAAATTATAGATGAAAATACCCTAGTATATACACCAATGCAGCTATCTATTACAAAATATGGTAACTGCTTAAGCTGAATGGCCTCAAATAATTAAGCAAGTTGTTCGAATTCTCTCCGTAATTTTCTTTTATCCCTCTATTCATTACAAAAATACAAATAAATAAATAAATAAATAAATATTGATTTACAATAAATTATAAATACATAAGCTTAATTCAGATAACCTATTTACTTTCTTGGAGAGAGTTGTAAAGCTTCCTTCTTAATGTTAGCTGCTAATTCTGGGTGGACCTTTGCGAACATATCGAAGACCTTGTCTTGGATATGTGTTTCAGCGCCAGAAACATGAACAGCAACATTGTGAGCTAAGTTCTTTTGTTGGTTTGGATACTTAGCTAAAACATTGTATAAACCAGTAGCTTGGGAGTAATCCTGGTCAGTACACTTCCAGTGGAATGGGCAAGCAGCACCTTCCCAAACTTCTTGTTCCTCTTGTATGCTAAAATTCTTGAACTCAACTGGTTTGGAGGTGGCTAAGTAGTTTGGATGTGATCCTAAGTTACCGTTAACATTCATGCCACCATCCCTCATATGTGGATTAAAAACACGACCAGTGATTGGACAGTTAACTGGAATTTGGGTGTAATTGGTACCTAATCTGTGTCTGTGTGTATCAGCGTAAGAGAATAATCTTGATTGCAAGACTGGATCAGCAGAAGCTTCCATGTAAGGAACAGTGTGAGCAGGTGAAAAAGCAGCTTGCTCAATTTCAGCAAAGTAGTTCTTTGGGTTTTCGTTCAAGACTAATTTACCGAATCTTCTCATTGGGTAATCCTTATGTGGCCAGACCTTGGTTAAATCGAAGACAGAGAATGGTGCCTTCTTGGCTTGTTCTTGAGTCATGGTTTGGATGTAACAAGTCCATGATGGAGCATTATCCTTGGCAATTTCTTTGAACAAGTCTTCTTGAGCAAAATCTGGATTGGAACCAGCCAATTCACCTGCTTCTTCGTTGGTCAAAGTTCTAATACCTTGATCAGAGATGAAGTGGACTTGAACGTAGTACCATTCACCCTTCTTGTTCGACCACTTGTAAGTGTGACCAGAGTAACCGTTCATTTCTCTGTAACTGGCTGGAGTACCACGGTCGGAGAAAAGAGTCATAACTTGATGGATGGATTCTTGGTTAGAAGTCAAGTAATCCCAAAACATGGTTGGGTCCTTCAAGTGAGTTTCTGGGTTTCTCTTTTGGGTATGGATAAAGTGAGGAAACTTAGATGGATCTCTAATGAAGAAAACTGGGGTGTTATTGTAAACTAAATCCAAGTTACCTTCCTCGGTATACAACTTAGTGGAAAAACCTCTTGGGTCTCTGGCACTATCAGCAGAACCTGATTCACCACCGACGGTGGAGAATCTAGTTAAAACTTTGGTCTTCTTACCAATAGTATCCAAAAATGCTGCACTACAAACATCACTAATATCGTCAGTCACTTCAAAGTAACCGTAAGCACCAGATCCCTTAGCGTGCACAACTCTTTCCGGAATTCTTTCTCTGTCAAAGTGTGCTAAAGAATCAATAAGATTGAAATCTTGCAATAATAATGGACCATGTTGGCCAACTCTTTGAGTAGCAAATGGTTCTGGGATTGGACATCCGTTGGAGTTAGTGTAAACAGGAGCCATTGTAAAAAATTTTATTATATTAAATATACCTGTGAATAGATGAGTGTATGAAACCTTTTAAAAATCTCGAAGAGGATTTATTCTCCTTATATATCATCACATAGTAATTTTCGGTAAGCGGGGTGAATGGCTGATTATTATAAAATGCTTCTAAGTGGCCAACGTGATTAGTGTAGATAGCCGAGGTATAAGTCGCAAACCAAGCATCGCACCGAGGGGACCCTGTGGTTCAGAAAACTAGAGTTTAGAGCACAATTCAGGACGTAAGTTCCATTTCTACATCCTACATGGTACGCGTGGACTCCGTAAAAACCAAAATCGAGAATTAGACGGATTATTGGCAAAGTTTGAAGTGTGGACTATGTAGTTCTAAAACTCAAGTGTTGTAGATGAGCCCATGTGAAGAACTAGTTTGTTTTTCTCCACAATTTTCCAGAGCGCGGTTCTGGATTTGTGTAATATGTCAATCCGATATGACCGACGATTATTAATGCTGCAATACTAGACCACCATCGGTACAGATTACTAGAAATAGAACAAAGTGTTAGAAAGAGGTTAGAATTGACAAGATGGGGTGTAATCACGATCGGGAGACTGCTGGTCGATTTGTGATACTCGTAGACATTCAAATTGAAATTAGAATTAGGAATTGGCTGAATGCTAGGCCGTTTGAATGCAAAATATGAGTTGTAACAAAAGTGAGGTTTTAAATTATAGGATATAGTAACCCACCAGTAACTATGATAGGCTACCAGACTCTTTCTTGTATTCTTTTGCTACATTATATCTAGCAAGCGGCAACACATACCGAGGAGGGAGAAGAAAATGACGTCGGCCCATAATCACAAAAGGTGTGGCTTCAGGCAAATTGCAAAAATGCGGACGGTGGCCTCATGTGGTAAAAATGGTTATGGGGCCAAGGAATTACTTCATTATATAGGCTTTAAACACCAATGATTTACGTCAATTCAATTAGAGATATATAGTCATAGCTAAAATGATTAGCTAAAAAGCGTGAAAATGGGACGGTTCAAGTCCATACATGCAATATCACGATTCAGTCTTGTGAAGAGAGGTTCTCCATTCCTTGAATTCTTCAGTGATAACACTATTTCGCAATTCGCTATCTTGCAACAACTCAACTAAAGAAAAACTTTTCGAACCTGGATCATATGTCAACGACCACAGCTTATCGGTATCTTTAGGTATTTCGTTATTTATCCATTCAATCACAGCTCCATACCATTTTAATGCGTTCATACACACTATTTTTGTGTTCACATTAATGGTATCTTTTAACATAATTGGTATTTCCTCAGTGTTATATACTTCCACGTTTCGTAAAATTAAATTATCATCTCTAAAGCCATATACTATCTTCCTAATTCCAATTAGGAAACTTTGCGCCCATGTCCTGAATAATTTCTTCTCAAAATTCACGACTTGTCCTGGGGCCTCTATCACCTTACTTGTTTTCAATTCTACGTAATGAGGTAAGATGTCCTTGCCATCCTCAGGTATATAATCCCACAAACAATCAACTTCACCTGCGAGTAATAATTTAACCTTTCCAATCCCCGTCTTAACTACCGATATGTATTGTTCGTAGTTATTAACAACTTTCTTATTTCTTTTCTCGATTAGCTGGCGTGAGCAATCACCCCATGGTTTCGGTAACGTACTTACTGCCTCGAACTTATATCCAGAATACTCAAATTTTTTCATCATTTCTTGTTTAGACGGATCTTCATTATGGCTATTCTGTTGTCTTCTTTTCAATTCTATCTCATCATTATTTTTAATAAAAAGCTGTCCATCATATACAATTACATGAAAGTCCAAAGGGTCCTTAAGGTTATATGGCAACGTTAATATCTTGGTCATCAAACCTCTGAATGTAATTATGTCACTGTTTATCTTGGTGCCTGTACTCTGCTCATAATTCATCACTCCTTTTAATAATGCCGGAAAATCTCCAAGGTTCTCCTCTTCTGGGATCTTTTTAAAGTTACTGTACCCACCTCCTAAATCAATTTGCTTATCAACAGATGCATCAGGTAAATAATAGTACGACAAATTCTCATCTTGGACCTTCGTGGAATCGAAGATATATTCACCATCAATATCTCTAGCAAAACAAAATAACTCTTTCGGCTGCTTCAATGCTGTGGTCTTGGCCCTAGAGTTCAATGGAAAAGTTTTTATCATGTTATTAGTTAGGTACAATTAAAAACTTCGTTTATGTATAGTTCGTTAATCTCATCGAACAAAATTTATAATTTGTACTCAATCACGAGATTTAAACAAACAAACACACCTTATCATTTAAATCAATTTTATACAATCACAGGTAATTAGAGTCTTGGGACAACAAGTTATGATTATCAATGATAACAGGTTAACTTTCTTGGTGATTCATTTATTCATAATTTTTCAGATTACAAGTGCAGAATTATCACGAACGTCCCAAAGTTCATTCGTAACTAAATCTGTTTGCAATGTAGACTCATGTTTACTAGACGCTGGAAATATCTTCAAACCTCAAACGAGTGTTTCAAAAACAGATTCACTTAATTACATTACTCCTTCGGCAACCAAATCTACCCAAATATCTACGTCAACATCCACATCGACGTCGACATCTACATCTATATCAACAGTCCTATCTACATTAACTTCAATAATTTCCACAACACCCACTGAATTGATTTCAACTTTATCTGAAAGTCCCGTTTCAAGTTCTGAAAATTTGTTCGCCGAAATAAGCAAGTCTGACAGTGGTATAATAGTGGACGATTTAAGTAATGTACACTTTGAGGTCATCAGTGAGGTAAACTCTACAAATTCTACAAATACAACTGAACCGTTTATACCCATGCAAAATTATACGAACAAGAATATTCAGCTGAATCAATCTAACGAAACTATTGAAGAATGCCACTTTCTATCATTCGAAGAATGGAAACGTCAAAAAGCTGTTGATAATAAACAAATTAATGATTCTCAGCCTCAAGCAGAAACCATAACAAATGAGTTAGTTCCTACAACTAGCGGTATAGACAACAGTACCCAAATACCCGTGCCATCGGATGAAGATCAAGGTAAGATATATAAAGATCGATTTAATTATGCGTCAGTGGGTTGCGCTGCTACTATTGTTAAAACAAACTCTCATGCTAAGGGAGCATCAGCAATCTTAGTAGAAAACAAAGATTCATACTTATTGAATCAGTGTTCTTCTTCACAGAAATTTGTGGTTATTGAATTATGTCAAGATATTCTTGTTGATACCGTGGTGATCGGAAATTTTGAATTCTTTAGTTCAAACTTTCGTAAAATACGGATTTCTGTTTCAGATAGGTTTCCTGTTGGATCTTCTGGGATGAAAGTCTTAGGTGAATTTGAAGCAGAGAATATACGAGATGTTCAGTCTTTCAATATCGAAAATCCACTTATTTGGGCGAGGTATTTAAAATTAGAAATTTTGAGTCATTATGGAGATGAATTTTATTGTCCTATATCACTCATTAGAGTTTATGGAAAAACAATGATGGAAGAATTTAAGATGGCGGAAGGGCATGAATCTTTCATTGGTGGAGAACCCGAAATTAAGAATGAGGAATTAGTAATAAATAATTCTATGAAAGACATTTCAAATTTCACAGGTATTAATATTCAGAACGAGGAATGTAGAGTGGCTTTACCTCATTTAGGATTGACTGAATTTTTAAAAGATATCAATTCGACAGCTAGTGATTACTGTGATGCAATGTATCCATTAATAAATGAACCCGAAACTACACAAACAATAGAAACTAAAACGACCCAGGAATCAATCTATAAAAATATAATGAAAAGATTATCTCTTCTAGAATCAAATGCTAGTTTGTCATTACTATATATTGAAGAGCAAAGTAAATTACTTTCCCAAGCCTTTACCAATTTAGAAAAGCGACAGTCGTCAAATTTTGAATCATTAATTAATTCATTTAATGACACCATGCATAACCAGATATCGTATTTCAAGAACGCATATTTTAGTATTCAGGTTGAGGCATCCAAATTATTCAAGGCCCAAGAATATAATCATCAAAGTTTGCTAGAAGAATCACGTCAGAAAATGACAATATTAGGAAATCAGTTAAAGTTTCAAAAAAGACTTTCAATTTTGAATACTATGATTATCATCTGTATTTTATCATACGTTGTACTCACTAGAGATGTTTACATAGAAGATCACATGGATGATCATTTCCAACAGCAACTTCGAGCTTCGCAGAATACCTCTGGTTATTCAAATCTACTTAATAAATACAAGAGGAAAACTTCTAAGCGAAATAACAAAACTAAAAGAAGGAAGCATAAATTTACGAGTTAAATCAAATAAAGAATTCTTATTAACTATGTACAAATAAATTTTCTATACTATGTAACAACAAAAAAGTAATATAGAATTACCACCCACCTTCATCATTTCCACTGCTCCATCTATTATCGCGCTTGTTATTGGTCTTTTTAAAATCCCTAGAGTTATTCTTTGAGTAATCATTTCTAGTATTTCTTGAACCACCAAAATTTTGTCTGCTATAACTGCCTTTATCAGAGTAACCTCTATTTCCGTGATCATCGTAATTCTTTTGGAATCCGCCTTTCTTGAAATTCTTTCTTTTATCACCGGAAGTATCCATAAAAGTTCTCTTTGAAGAACGATTATTTGTTGCACTGAAGTTGAATCCACCTGGAACATCAAAGTAAAGACTAGCCTCACGAGGAGGAACGCTAATAACGTTTCTCAAAAATCCTTTTCCAACAGAAAGCTTAGCTTCAGGATCATTGATTAAAAATCTATAATAATCAATGATTTGTGATAATGAATCATGTTGTGCGATTTTATAAGCAGATCCAACTTGCTTATAAAACCCTAAGAAAGTAGGAATAAAACTTTCTACATTCTCAACGTCAGCACCAATTTCTTTGACTAGCTTTTTATCTTCTTCCGCAGTTTCATATTTTATTTCGTGTTCAAATTTAACACCTCTCTTAGACTGTAATGCTTTACTATAATTCTTTTCCAGACTGGATAAAAATAATATAGATCTACCCGATGCACCTGCTCTTGCTGTTCTACCAATCTTATGAATATAATCTGCTACTTCAGAACTAGGTCCCATTTGGACAACGTCACTCACATCGCTAAAATCTAAACCTCTTGCAGCAACATCTGTGCAAACCAAAATACCATGAGAGAGTCTACGATAATCTCTAACAGTTCTATCTCTTGCAGCTTGACTCATTTTTCCGTGCAAACGTAAAAGCTTTGAGCCATACTTTCTCGTTTGTTGCGTATCATACATTTCCTTGTCTTTAGCGTTCATCAACATTGAATAAAACCAATCAGTAGCGGTTACAGTTGGTAAGAATACCATTGCCTTGAAACCTGCATTATTCATATTATTAATGATGTATGCTAATGCCCCATTGAAAGATTCACCAATATTATTAGTTTTAACCAATGTCTGTTCAATGTTTTCGTGTGCTTCTGGTTCGTTTTCGTCAACACAATTAATAAATTTATAATCCTCTCCCATTACTGACTTAGCAAAATTGGAAACGGATTTATCAACAGTAGCACTAAATAAAACTGATTTAAATGAAGCGCTTGGATTTGTGGCCTTACTACGAGCTTGTTTTAATTGATCGTCGATATCATCTAAAGTGACAGAAAAACCTTCATCTAATAGTCTATCAGCTTCGTCATAAACTCTATATTTCAAATCAGTGAACATGTTAGCAAACCTTGAGTGTCTTAAGTTATCATTTAATCTTCCTGGAGTGGCGATAACAATTGCTGGAGCAACATTACTTGTTCTGGTTTTACGGCCTCCCATGTGCACCTCCATATGAATCTTATTCCTAGCTTGATTAGGCATATTTTGGATAATCTTCTTATATTCAGATTCAATTTGCAAAGCTAAATCTCTGGTTGGGGCAATCACCAAGGCATGTACTTTGCCTCTTGCACCTCTCGTGGCATCAAAATTTTCAAGCGCACATTGCAAAGTAGGTATAACGAATGCCAATGTCTTACCAGTTCCTGTCTTAGCACGACAGACAACTCCGTTTTCTTCCAAAATCGGGACAAGTGATTTTTCTTGCACTGGAGTTAATGTCGTAAACTTAGCCAATTTAATGGCCTTCAAGATATCTTTGTGGACATGTCCAGTCTTAGCCAAACCATCAAACGTGGCTGGCCCGTCCTCAGCTAAATTCTGCGTTGAAATGGAGTCTGTTTTATTTTCAATTTTTACCTCATCTGCAACCTTCTTTACTTGATTCGCATGCTCATTAGCATTATCTAATTTTGCGAACTCATTATACTGAACCCTACTATAAGTAAAACCTCTAGTAAATCTCCTAGATGCTGATGCAGTTCTGACTACTAAAAGTCTTGCAACTGGTCTCAACTTGTACATTTGTTGAGCTTGTAGTTAATTAAGTATATAATACTACTGAAAATTCTTCATATTATTATCAGATAGAAATTTCAAAATTCATCTCAGGCATCTCGCTTATATAATCGATATTTTATCAGAAGATCAGGACTGCAACAAGAAACAAGTCTAATTAAGAATTTCATTTAACTAACCATATATCCCTATTTTACTGGCCCCTCAGTTTAAATATTACTCTAATGGAGATGGTCTCCTTACCAGATGGAAAATTCCCATGTGCTATATTGAGAGATGGGATATCTCACGAATGAGTTTCACCCATTGTACGTGAATTTAAAAAAAAGCAGTATAGAAGAAGTATACTAGCAGAAAGAATATTAGAGCACAATTAATTACGTTACGTTCTTCAAGGCATAGTATATGGCATTATAGTTTACGTGTTTGAAATAGAAGCTATGCTAGTTATAATGCGACATTATGACATCACGACATTGCGACATATATTGATACCGAATTCCATATTGGGGAAGATTTAATAGTATACAATTCATTGATTAACACCTATTCCCATCAAAAGTACGGTATAATGAATCCTAATCAGCAAGAAAATGAGTCAGGTATTCAAAAGAACTTCCTATCCAAGATAAAACAGAATTATTCTAATAAATTTTCTAATATTTCATTATCGTCATCGATTCAAAATATGTCAATACACTCTGACCATGATGGAAATTCGGAAGATGATACATTGATCCATAATGCATTTGTTAAATATTTCGATGGTAAAGGTGAGCCGTACCCGGAGTGGTTAGGCGTTAAAACTAATCAGCAAAGCAGCAGACCTAGCAATAGCAATAGCAATAGCCATTATCGTTCAGAATACCAGCCTGTATATTCTAGTTACAATAGTAGTGGACAAGGGGCGAGTCAAAATCAACAAAGCCAGAATTCTGGAACTCGAAATCAGGCACCATCGTATTTCCAACCTCAATATACTCCACAACATGCTCCACAACATGCTCCACAACAAGCTCCACAACATGTGCCAGAAGCAGAGCCTCAAAGACCAGCATATACACCTAGATCGTCGAGCCGTCTACAAGATATGTATAACAAATCGAGACAGCAGTCTATACCTGGCTCGGGATACAATACACAATCTTATCCAACCGGTCCATTAAGAACAAATAGCTCGACTACAGGCTCCAGACTTAGAGAAAGGATGCTCAATACTTCTCCAAGTATGAATGGATTGAACCAGGCCACTACAAGCACTAATCCAAATACAGACTCTTCAGGGAATTCTAAGGCTACGTGGGGAAGAAGGTGATTATACTCATATACATATATACTTCATAAAATATTATTCAATATTTTGAAATTCTCCTCCCAACAGTCTCTATTCTTAATAAACCAGTCAGGCAACTTATTATCAGGCGGTAATTTAAGCTTAATAATACTAACGTTTTCAAAACTTATTGGATATTTATCTAATTTCTTGTAGAACTTGTAATCGTAATTTTCTCGTAATAATTGCGCTTCCTCAGGAATAATATCTATGGATTTAGAATGTCTTGAATCCTTGGACTTTTCGATATCTTCTCTTTCTTTTAATCGTTTAACAAGATTCAGAGAACCTTCAAACGAGCATCGTGTTGAGGGTGTTGAGCTGCTAATACTCTGGTTCCTAAATTTATGGTTACCATTACTGAAACTTCTTGGGCGACTGGATTTATTATCAGCCATCGAATATCTTCTCTCAAAACTCCCTCTTGATGCATACTGAATCATGTCATTATTCAAGCTATTATTTCTGTTGGATCTGACATATTTTGGAGATGTTCCCGGAGTAAATTTATCATCGTCTGAACCAGTCGAACCTATCGATTCCTTTCTGGGATTATCTTGCTTTCTCATTTCAGCCAACTTCAAGAGATTAGCTGGAATCTGCGGTGAGGCGGATAATAGCTCATCATCAATATCTTCATCATCAATACTTTCATTATCATTCTCGTCATCGAATTGATGTTCGAGTTGGCTAGTGTCCATAGAATTCTTTCTTGAGCCTGGTATTTGAAAATCGGGACTTCGGAAAATAGATCTGTTCTTACTTGATGCATATTGATATGGCAGAGCCTGTGTACGCTGTTCTTGTTGAGATTGTTCTTCTCTTTGTTCTTGTTGTTTCAAAAGTGCATTTAAACGATCAATTTCGAACGGTATCAATTCCGTTTGTAATAATTCTAGAAAGTTTTCCGCATAGTAGTTGCTTTTATTTGAGTTTCCAGAGTAAATTCTGTATTCGTTAATAATAGAATTAAAATTCCATTTCTGAATTTTACGTAGTATTCCAACTAATGTTGATGTTGAGTCAACTAGTAGGATATTGTGCTTACTTTTATTTAATAGCAATTCAAATGCTCCCGCTATTATGTTCCTTTCTATCAACATCCATTGATCATTTTTACTTTTACTGGTAAGTTTGATAGTTTCAATTTCAGATTTTCCAAGGCTGTATTCTCCCGTCTCCGTTTTGCTACTTACGGAAGATGTCTCCGTATTATCATCATCCTCGTTGTCATCTTTATTTGAACTAGAATTGGCACCCGTGTGATTATGATTCGATATTTTTAACCCTCCTAGGTTATGTATTTCTATATTGTTAGCTTCAATGAAATTCTTTAGCAAGCGTGGTGGCTTCTCGGCATCTAAAACCACTAATGATTTTAATTGCAAGGTCTCTAAAAACGGGAAATGTTCAGATTCTAGCTTACTGCACCTATAAATACCTGGCTCTACAAGGCCAAAGTTATCTGGTGGCACTAGCATCCTTGTATTTGACAACTTAACTTATCTTTAAAAACGTGGTTGAATTTTTTAGTGCTCGCAGAATATCAATACTTTTGTTACAACTTTCTTAGTTACATATTTAAGGACATGGATCTGTGAGAATAAAATTAAACTAAATAAAAATTTATAAATCCTAATGTATAGTATTACATATCAAAAAAATATCTAACCTCTTATAACTAAATCGTCAGGGATTCCTTCAAACTCACCATAACCCATTGTCAAATTAATGTTTTGTAAGCATTGAGTGGATGCACCCTTTAATAAGTTATCAATAGTGGCAACAATAACAACTCTATCTTCTTTTGAATTCACTGCAAAACCACCAATAACTACACCATGCTTACCACTGATATCCTTAACTAAAGGAGCTTCACCGCTTATGGTGATCAACTGTTCACCTTGATATCTGTCTTGATAAATATTTCTAATTTCACGAGAGCTTAAGGATTTTGGTTTAATAGGAATTGAAATAGTGTGAGAGATACCCTGGAACCATTGCGCAACGTGTGGTGTAAAAGCAACATCTAAATCTAATTGGCTACTGATTTCCTTTTCATGTACATGGTCTGTCAACGAGTAAGGAATTATATTATTAGCCAAAAACTTGACATCATTCTTAGGGGATGGTTTCGTACCAGCTCCAGAATAACCCGAAACACCAAATATTGAGGGGGTGCCGTTAATGTAAGGGACTAAGGGTGCGATTGCACATTGGGCAGCTGTTGCGTAACAGCCGGGATTTGAGATTTTCTTAGCCGATGCAATTGCATTACGATCATTCAATTCAGGCAAACCGTAAACCCACTCGCCGGTAGTATCAAATCTGTAATCGGCAGATAAATCGATAATTTTTGATTTATTATTTGGAATAGATTCAATTGCTTCGACAAATGGTTTACAGACACCATTTGGTAATGCCATAACCCAAACATCAACTTCATTGTTCTTTTCAAGCTCTTTGATGTCCTCGGTTTGTAAGTTAGAATAAACGATATTATCCTTATTATAGCCCTTTAACTTTTGTCCCTTTAATTCACGAGAAGAAACATGAGACAATTCTAAAAAGGGATGACTATCAATCATACTGATTAAATTTTGTCCAGTATAACCTCTTGCACCAATAAGGGCAACCTTAGCTTTTTGAGTATTTTTACCTTCACGAATTGGTGGGTTTGGATTACTTGAATAACAACGGCGGGCCATTGTATGGAATCCCTTCTTTTGAATTGGGGAACTGAAAATACCCGACTCACTAGACGATGATAATGCGGAGCCAATACTAGAAGAATCAAATTGATTAATTAACTGCGAGACTTCTTCTGTATTCAAACCGTACCAGAATAAGATTTCACCATTCTTGGAGAACGAACCGTCAGATTTTGAAAAGTACCACGACAAATTGGAATCATTTTCACTCACTATCCAATATAACGATTTATAATCCTTCTTAATAGAGTTGAAAATGTTATCTGTAACGTTATTTAACCAGCCAGTTCTTGATGACAAAAATTTATCCAACTTTGGAATACGAGAGCCATTTTTTGTAACAATGGCCAATACTTCTAATGGTTCATCACCATAAGATTTGAATTCGATTGATTCTAAATGCTTTAAATAAGATGCAACAGATAATTTCCCAGATTTTATTTCTGGGTCTCTTAACAAAGCAGCTCTTAATAAATCAGGATTACCAAATTCTTTCAAAGAATTACGGCTAATTAATTTATAACCTCTTCTAATTAAAGTTCCAGCCCCAGAATCAGTAAATAATTCTTTCTGTAAATCATCAACATCAATAATAGCGACAGATGAAGACCTTGGTAAATGTTGTAACAAATCGTGAATTTCCTTGATCTTTAACTTTGTACCATATTTGACCCAACTTTCCTTCATCAAGTCATCATATTCTTCGTCTAAGTTGATCATGCTTACCTTTTCACCTGTATTACCGTTAATAATGCCACCCTTCTCATTCAAGTAAACAATCTTCAAAGGTTCAAACTCTCTAGCCAATTCACCAGCAGCTACATCGGCATTTACGTTCAAGAGTTGACCAGAAGGAGTTTCAGCTAAGGAAGTTAAAATCGGCAAATAGCCTGCCTCAATAGCTGATTCAACAGGCGACTTATTCACAGAATTAACTTTACCAACTAATTGGTATTTATCCTTATCCAAATAGTCAGCTCCAAAAACACCTGCTGTTATTGGTCTGGCATGAACACCCATTTTTTCAAGTGCAGTAACTAATCTTAAATTCTGTTCTAAGAAACATTTTCTGACCACTTCCATAGTTTTAGGATTGGTGATTCGAATCCCATCCAGATATTCTGGTTCAACACCTTCATTTTCTAATAACTCATTAATTTGTGGACCAGTGCCATGTAAGACAATCGGATATAACCCAACATGGTATAAGAATGCAAGACATGAAGCTAATTCAGATAATTGTTGTGTTATAATTGCTCCACCAACTTTAATAACAGCAAACTGTTGCTGAGATACAGAAGTAAAATATTTTAAATATTGCTCTACCTCTCTTTTAGATCCAATGTTATTCAATAATTGAACTACGGTTGATCTAGTCGAGTAGAATCTTGTGGTCGTTTTCGTGCTTCTAAGTCTATTACTCAAAGAAACAGATCCAACTATCTCTTTATTGGCAACAGAGCTTAATCTCTTGACAACAGATCTACCAACTGTTTGTCTTAACATGATTAATACGTTTATTTAGATAGGTTAGAACAATAAACTGAAAAAAATGTTTGTTTTAAACTTATAAGTATTGAAAATTTTTCCCTACACTATCTTTTTCGTTCACGCCCAAATGAGTCAAATCGTTATCAGCCAATTAAAGTAATTATTTGTCTAAGCGCGGTTCGAGATCTTTAACAACCATTTTTATATCTATTGCATATATATGCTATATTGTAGGCTCACCTATATCCCTATAAATCCAGTTCAATAATGGAGAGTATAAATCATATATTTCTTCAAGAATTTCATCAATTTCAGCTATTACCTGTCTAGTCGGAATCGAGAAATATTTGAAGTTTCCCTTCAATAAGCATTCGAATTCAGTTGATATAGGATCAATATTAATTAGTTTGACAAACTTGTCAGTTAGAGTTCGTTTAAGTAGCGAATATCCGTCTTGCTCTATTAATGTGCAATACTCTTTGTGGATGTAGGAAATCAAATGATCAATATCTAGGTTCAGGTCTTCGATATGAGCCTCTATAACTTTGTAAATGAAAACATCAATATCTGGTGGATTTATATTCTCTGAAAAATACCTTATTATAATATCCGCCATCTTTTGTATGGAAACACCCTTAAAATTCTGATGTTGTTGGCCGTTAAGGCTTATTTCGGCCTTAGAATAAAAATTTAAGATTAAGTGTAGTACATAATCAGAAATAAGAAGTACCCGGCATTTAATACTAAGCACCTTCATTTCCTCTTTGAAAAATACATTAAATTCATTAGTTGAATAATCTGGATCATACTTCCTATTACGATTCCAAAGATTATCCAAAATAGAATTAATGTAGATGTGTCTAAAATATCTAAAACTGTGCGCATTCACCAGGAATGATTCAAAATCTGGATACTCAAAGGTTGAGTCAATGATTGAATTATACAGCAAAAAGTGTCGATCAAAGTCATTGTCGTATCGCGATAGAAATTTGTAGAATAACGGAAATCGTAAATGAGGAGAATTAGTACCATTTTCTATCTTGAAATTCTTTTTTGATATGAATTGACAAACATTTTCGAAGCTTTTGATTTTCTTGATACTGTCGTTCTTACATTTATTGACCCATAAGTTCATTATCAATATCTCTAATTCCTCATAGAAGTTTATGAATAATTCAAATTCATTCAGAGATACTTGTTGTAGGTTATTCAAGATACCAATATACCCACTACAAGCATTTGGAACAAAATCTAAAACAAATGGTCCAATTGATGCCAAGTGACTTAAGCAGAAGAAATGAAGTTTAAAGTATTGCAATAGCTCTTTATGAGTATTAGAGTTTGCAATCTGATATGAATTTTTTAATGTTCTGAATTGTGCGATAGCAATATCAAACCCTTCACTGTTATTGGAGTCCTCGAACTTTATGCAATACTCAAATAGGATTAGGAAGATATCACTTACAATAAAATCAAACTCAGTCAGAAATAAATGCAAATCTTTTTCACCACGTAAGGACTCGTATTTACTGTGAATTGAAACCATATCTAAATCTCTGAACACATTCTCGACATAAATATTAGGTGATTTATTCTGATGATTTAGGTTGAAAAATCCTGACTTCAAGGTATTAGGAATTCCATACCTATTATGTATATTTATTCTTTTTTCAGCTCGATATTGTTGTATCCAATATTTTCTCCATTTATTTATAGGTATTTTGGGTGGTATGTTAAAGATAAGACGTTCAAATATTATGGAGTGATTTGATGAGGTTTCGGTTATATTATCCAACCCTTCTAGTACTTCTATGCTAGCTTTAACTTTAGGCCTTTCGGGTAAGGTTTTATCAAATACTTGTAACCTTATATTGTTAATAAAGCTACCCGAATCTTCTCCAAAATAGGTCCATTCTGTACCAGAAAACTTGAAAATTTGTGAAAGTTTGTATAAGTACTTGTGATTATTAACATATTTTTCCCTTTGCATTTCAATCTCAATAGCCTGGCAAACTAATAATTGTTTTTGAACAACTTCCAATGCATCATTTATGATTACCATGCAATTATTAAAATGTAGACTTCTAAATATCTGAAATAGAAAATGATAAACTTTCCAACTTTTGCATAGCTTTAATTTCGGTAAACTCCAGGGGTCTTCTATTTCTTTCAGATCGCTGTAGATAAATTCAGTGAATTTATTTATGACGGATTCGGCCAGTTTGAATAAGAGAAGAGACACTGAATTTGCAAGATTGTTTATATTTCTATCAGATATATTTGTATTGAATCCAGAATGAGTATGATGAATTAAAGAATCTTTATAGTCAGCAATCATAATCAAGGAATAAAGAAAACTTTTATACTTTTGCTGGGGAAGTATGTCTGGTAAATTAAGATTTCTGAGAATAGAAACGGTGGTCTTAGTAAATTCTGTCAGAGGTTTGAGCAACAGTAATGTTTCATTATATGTCATTTGAGTTAGTCTTGTGGAAACCTGGAAAGCTTTAAAATGATTCACATTGCGGAGTAATATGTATTTTTTAATACTTCTTTGAATTATAATGATACTTTGTATATCTCCGACTGCAAATTCTACCCTGTTTTCCCCATTTTTGGGACATGCGATTGATTCCACAGATAAAGGCAGTGCAACTGGTAACCTTAACGAAGTTAATTGAACTTTTCTGGCCCTCTCTCGTCTTTTTGCAAGAAATGCCATTCTTCTTTCGTTTGCACGGTGTAAGTTGTCCGACAAATCCTCTGCAATCTTGTTAGAAATTATTTCCTGATGTAACCTCAAGTTTTGAATCTTCTGATGAATTGTTTGAGACCTCTTCTTTAATTTAAGGGTTTTCGATTGAATAATCTGCAGTTTCCTTATTCGATGGTTCTTATCTCTAGAGTTACTCCTCTTAGCTGGAGTTAGGTTTCTAAGTATGTACTCTGGTAATTCGAACAGAGTTGTAGTAGAAGACGTTGATATCGAATCATTAGCTTCTTCCGAACTCTCTTGCATACTTGTTCATATATATATATAGCGATTCTTTAGCGAATACTTAGTTAATGTAGTTTGCAGTATCAATAGTACTATCTGTGATAAGATTGCGTGATCATATCCAAAGTATGCTGGCTGATAAGGATGTGCACAAATTGCGAATTTTTGACATCCACAAAATTTACCTATCTAAACTACAATTGGAAACAATAGTAAATAAATATGAAATTTATTATAATGCTACGATGACTATTTATACTCTATAATACAAACTCTATTAGGTACTCTTTTTTGACCTCCAAATTTTACCAAATTTGGATAATTTATCCTCTTTCAAATATAATGGACTTGTAGAAAGTGATTGCGGCTGACTCTGGTTTGGTGTCTGAATTGGTGAAGCGTTCAAAGGAGAACTGACATGATTCGTGTTCAATCTTAAATGGTCCAATATATTTGAAAGAGATGATGCAGAAGATGAAGAGGAATTTGATCCTGAATCGACGGGTAAATTGTTTGTTGATGACGATAAATGCAATAATCTCGATTTGTTCATTTTATGGAAAAGTTTTGGAACATTCGAGTTAGTAGGAGTTAATACTGGAGAGACGTTATCGGATTCAGACTTTGTTATCAGACGACTCTTATAACAATCATCCATTGATAACGAAGATGGGCTTGCCTGAACCCTCTTAGGCTGAAGGAGCGGTGAGGCTGTTGTAGAATCCTTGTCCTTGTAGGAATTAACAAACAGAAGATATACATTCTCCTCGAGTAAACGTAAGACCTCATTCTTTGCCGGAAGCAAAACTTGTGGACTGTGGAAAATATTAGGAATTCTATCTTCCTCCACGATTTTCTTGTATGACAAATTGGAGAGATTAATCTGTTCGGGCGAGTTATGGTGCACATATCTATCCATAACCAAATCCCATTGGTCCGCGATTAAATCCTCGTCCGATTGCACATCGCCTTGGTCCACACTCTTCTCTTCTTCGCCTTCGTCGTCTGAATCGTTTTCCGTGTCCGAGTCTCCAACGTTTTTCTCCATCAAGTTATCCCACACATTATTCATTTCACTACCTTCTGGTAATTCGTCCAAATCATCTATAGTGGATACAAACACTGACATCGGCTCGTGGTCCTCTGATCGCACTGATACTCCAGCAGAACTCTTCTTCCGAGCAAACATCGGCTCTGTTCTCTTTGTGGGGTATGGAAGGTCTCCTATAGACCGTCCCAAAGACAGATTCAAATAACAGTTTTCTTTCCCTCTCGTCGATGTGTTCGAGTTATCTGTCCTATTTATTATCTTATCGAAATAATATTCGTACTTGAAAATTTCAATTAAAAATGAAAGATTTTCATGGCAATGTGCTTCCACGATATATCTGGCAAACCGTTTCACCACATTTACTTTATGTGGATCGTTGAGCTGGTCTATGGAGTATTTAAAGCAATCATCTACCAACTCTTCCAACGGTGCCACCTTAGTAACGGATGCACATCCATATTGACTATTCAAGTTGGAAATTTTGGTCGGTATCGGTCCTTGATACCTCCCAGTTGATGACATATTGGCTAAGGTTCTAATACTCTTATATTTTGATGTCTAATCCTGACAATATGATAAAGAGCCTTTAGTATGGGAGTGAAAAAATCGAAATTTCGTCAAAAGTTTTCTTTGATGTGTTTATATCGCCTTTATAAAAAAAGGAACTTTTAACGTTTCTAATTAAAGTTAAAAGGGTCTCGTTTCTCAGGACAGAGAAGAAAAATTTCTTTTGATCACGCAATCGCGAAGGCAGACCGAACAAAAAAATCTTTTAGAGATGAGCAGCACAGCATACATAAAATCACGTTGCAAAGGTGAAAGGTGTAATGTATACAGAAACGTACAACCTGGCGCCCAAAATCTATGGTTGTGTTGCTCTACCGCGTCAAGATCTACTGTACAATACAAGTCTAAGGTGGAATTCACCTAAAGGCTTTGTAGTGATGATTGTTTCAGAAAGGCAGTTGTGGTGCAACGGTTCGCTTGATACCTAGTTAAGACTAAACAAGTGGATAAGGAATGCATGCAGTCTATGTTTCATTGTATGCATACAAAGAAAAAGGTTATCAATATTATTTCGGTTTTATACGTGTTTTGGTTATCTAAGCGGAAGTAGTAGATGTAGAGAAAAATAAGTGCATGTTGACGTAGTTTTGGGAGACTCTTGGCGGCTGGATGATAATATTGTAAATGCACATGTAGGAAAACGCACATTGGGTGAAGTAGGTTAAATTGGGGGATATTGTGGGTACCACTAACACCTAGGTATAAGAAGGGCTACTTAGATGCTGTGTGGATTACTATTTGTTGGGTGTTATTGTGGGACCATATACCAATATCACAGATGCGTTTTACGCCTTACGCACGGTTAGAACTGAACGAATATCGATAAACGTGCGACGAGATGAAGTGGCAGAGTATGAAAGTGACTCTGATACAAAACCAAATAAGCTCTGACTCGGAGAGAATTTATAAGAATCCTTAAGCGCATTTATGACCGGAAGTGGAAGCGCTTAATTGGCTTGCAATGGAAAATAGTAACACATGAAACAGGCAGACTGCGATAGGGGATGCGCGGAGTTGACGGACTTCGATGATGTAATGTTATGGTCTTTAGTGACATTCAGCAAAATACATTTTCACCGTGTTAATGCTCAAGTGATAGATGTAGAATCTTGTGTTTGTTATGATGTAGACTTTGGTGTAGGGTTCGATATAGGAATTTGGTGTAAGATTTAGGAGTTGGTGTATATTAGTGTAAAGGGTAATTATCCGCAATTGTTGAACGGAGCCGATAGCGGTTTGTCATGTGCGCTTATCGTATCATAAATTATTAAGTGATCAGATAAGGTCCCTTGATCGGACATTCTTAATTCCCAAGCCAATCCTAAATCAAGTTTGTTTCTATTGACGTTGAAAGCGTGAATACATTATTACTAGTACCCATATTTAATTCACGTGTTTTTTCAGACTTGCTTGATTCTTATTGAATTATTTCACTTGATTCTTATCTAGCTTGGTAAGTTGCCGCTCATGTTACTGAGATACTTTATCAAGCCGCTGGTTCCTTTGAGATACCAATCGTGCTGCACCAGGTCTTTTGCATGTTCTTTTGCTACATCTACTACCTTTGAGCGGGCAACTGAATATGAGATTGATCTCATATCGCTCAAGAAGACCACAAGGTGTAAGCGGGATACTCTGCGTGCTAAATTCAAGTTCAATCCGTTTAATTTGACGAGGTTAGAATCGAAATTGATCAACCCCGATATTGTCACTAGGTGCGTCAACGAAGTCGGTCAAGATCCACTTGATTACAAGAACTTCCCCATCAGTGACAGCAAAGGATATTTAGAATTTATTGAGAGGTATAATGTGGAACTTCGAAATTTCTTTGAGTTCATTCAACTGACTTATGAACGGGAGATAAAAACATTCGGCCAACTAACGTCGCAAGAAATATTGAGTAGTTTGAACGTTTTCAAGGATTACTGTCAGAAGGGAAAAATCGAAGGCGTCAACAAGTATAGCTATACGTCGTATAATTATATGTTTGAGAGACTTTCCAAGTATCTCCGATATGACTCGAGTTTTCCAGCATTTTTAGAATGCAATTTATTCAATGATTTTGAAAATAATAAGATCATTATGGACTTATATAAATTTGGCATCGGAAATTTCATGAATGAATTGGAATCACTTTCGAAGGAGTTCTCTTTCGAGAAAATGACTAAAGCGGAGATTACAAGCGCTATCGAATCGACTATAAAGCAGTTTGATGATTTTATACAATCAAGTGAGGCACATAATGATTATTCCGCAACGTTCTTCAAAGGTTGCATTCAGATTCAGAGATATAGACATTTAAAATCCATTTTGGATGCGCTTCCTATTGAATCGTCTCATTTGTTATATGTTCTTAATAATGAGAATTCGAAGCTTATTATTAACAAAATAAAAGACCTATCAGGAGAAAAAGAAAGTTTTAAAAAGACTATTATAAGTCACCAAGCAGAATTAAGCTTCATTAGGTTTTTATCTGAAGGGTCATTTGAAAGCTTTGCCAGATTGGCATCGTTTTTATATAAGCTTTCAATCACTACAAATGATGAATTAGCTCAAACTATCTCATTGACACTTTTAGAAAAGTTTACTCCGTTCTTTACTAATGGAACATTACAAGATTCGGACTTGAGAATTATTGAGTTAGAGGCTATTCCTCCAGCCACCATTTCTAACAGTTTAAGAGAAGATTATGAATTTTCTGTTTTAGCAAAGATTGAACTTTTTAACTTTGTTGATGAATTAAAACTATTGAGAACATTTAGTAATAAGAAGTTTGGGGATCTAGTTGTTGCTGACACATTTAAGGAATTAGATAATTTAACGGGCACTTTTACAGGCAGTAGTGTAATTCTCGACAACTTAAAAGTGCTAGAGTTAGAGTTATGTACACTATCCAGATATATAACCTGGGATCTTTCAGTTTTAGATAAATTGGTAGATAATCCTTCTTGGGTTTCATACTTGACAGAAGTTTACGAAGCTGGGTTTGAAAATCCTGGCAAACAGTTCGATTTTACAAAAAGAGTTCCTACAGTACCCAAGTATACTCAAATTCCAGATGACCTCTTTTTGCATGAATTCGTGAATGAATTAAAGATTTTAAGAACTGATTTACTAGGAGGATTTAACTTCAAAAATTTTTCTCCCTCTGGGGTTCTTAGTATTTTGGAACATGCAATCGAAGAAGTCCAGACTGGATATAGCACGAGTCCTAACCTCACCAGTGATACAGTTGATGATTTCATTAAACTCAATAGAAAATTATGGAAATTATTTCAATTTAATGGAGGCAATACAGGAATCTTAGACACCCTAATTCATTCGCAATCTGTTTTTGAATCTGTTGCTAAAAAGTCTAAATCTGTACAAAGAAAGGAAGATTATACACAAATTCCTGAAGATA